CCTGATTTTTATTGCAAACAAGCATAACATGCTCTCGGCGTGATCGCTGGTGCAGTGCAGCCAGGCCAGGAGGGTCTTATTCCCCCTGTGCAGAAGAGGCCAATCCCGCCCCCCTCCAAATTGTCTCCTTACTCCCATGGGAGGCTGGTACCTCAGGGGGACCCTGTCACTGCATCACAGGGTGCTGGGGACATCCCCTCTCCTCCTCTGGCCCCCGTGGGGCAGCTTCATGGCTCCGGTGGGAATTGCAGCATCCCCCAGTGACATCAGGGTGTTACCCCCCTGGTTCCTGGGGGTTTTTATAATGCAGAACGCCCTTTAGCACACAAGGCTTTTACATGTCACAGGATTGTATGAAAGTAATTAAAACCTACATTCAAACTTAAAATTTGATATTAAAATGAAACTCTGGCAGCTCCAGTGCTGTACAGGAGCCCCATGGCTGCCACACAGATGAGAAGGAAGGATCTTCAACCTCACATCTCTGCCTTGGGATAAGGCCATGTCATCCAGGGTGCTTCCAGTGTCCCCTCCAAGCCTGCCCATGCAGAGTTGCTTTCCTGTGGGAACCATCGTGTACCTGGGGTTTGCACACGGGCAAGTTTATGTCCATTTACAGATGGGCAAAACTGAGACCAGAGGTAGCAAGGGCAAGACAGGAATTACTGGGATGGCTCAGCCCTTGGACCACCCTGACCATCACCTTTGCCAACAGACTGGGGTTCGGGGCAGCCAGGGTGGCTCACCAGGTCCTGCCAAGCTGAGGGTGCCAGGCGATACTTGTTCTGCAAGGAACCAGCACACAGGTACCAGTATTTCCATCACTTGGTTGCACACAGATTGTTATGAAAAAAAAAAGATGATAAATAAAGATAAATGGGGGAGAGCGGAGCATGCCGGCAACCCTTCTTCATCATTCCTTTTCTTCCCTAAGTAGATCAAATTATGACCTGAAATCACTGAATACATATTTTATTATGTGGATAATTTAAAGGATGAGGGCGAGACAGAGAATTCATAAGGTACAGTTGTGCTAGAAGACTAAGAGTTCCCATTAATCTCTCACATGAAAAAAAACTGAACAGGAGAAAAGGGGTGTGTGTGTGTTACAGGTTGTAATCGATGTTGCCCTCTCCTCTTCCTCTTGTTTTGGGTGAGCTGGGACACACAGGGATGTCTTCTCCATTAGCATCCAGATATAAGCTGCTTCTTAATGTCTCACCAAATAGATGCAGCGCTCCCAGCTCTTCCCAGCCCCGCCACCCTCTGCCAGCAACGTAAACTCATCATATCACATTTAAGAGCTTGGCAATTAGCTCTCCTCCTCTGTGCAGAGCTGGGGAGCAGGGGAGGGAGTTAGGATGCAGCCATAGCTTCCCCCCAGCCCTGGGTAGGGCTGCCCCGTGTCCACCCCGGGACTCGCAGCCCCCAGCCCACTGCTGGCCCTCGCCGGGGCCGTGCCGGGGGCAGTGCCATCGCGGTCTGCTGGGCTTTGGCCCATTTCACCCCGGCTCAGGCGCCTGTCTGGCACCAGCTCAAGCGTGATGCTCCTATGACTTTGAGGGGTCAGCCCTGCTTCGCTTCCCCTCAAACTCCCCCTGCCCCATTAAGTCACGGGTGTCTCTGCATGCTGCAGATCAATGCCAGCTTCAGGATGTTTTTCAGTTCCCTCAGGACTGCTGGCTATTAATAATTGTTTTAATAACAACTAAAAAAAATATATATATAAAATAAACAACTCTATTTTATGGGTAGCTGAGCCCTGGCACTGGGCTGGGGGCTCATCTCTGGAGGCAGCACCCCAGCACGTGCCTCTGACCTGGCAATGGGACAGGAGCAGTTGGGCTGGTGGCTTCAGACCAGCTCCTGCTCAGCTCTAAGAGGGTGAAAGGACTGTGTTTTCCCTCTTAAGCACCTAAATGGTTTTATGAGGCTTTTGACAAGTCAGATTAAGCACTGTAATCAAGACAAACTTGTTTAAATAAGGCCCCTGAGGACAAATCAGAGCTGCTGAGTGTTTTCCTGACCCACTCCTGCACATCTCACCAGTGGAGGTTTGGGTGGTGGAGTGGGGTCACACTTGCAACACAAGTTGCTCATCCTCTGGCGGTCACTGTCCTCACCGTGGGGTCCAGAGAAGGGGACAGGTGGGATGGCCCAGTGCCTTCACACCTTCACAGCTCAGTCCATCGGAACCCAACACCATGCTTGTGGCTCCCCATGGTGCTGGCTAGTCCCCTCCAGGAGGCTCATGATGCTGAGGGGATTACGACAAGGTAAGCTTTAAACGAACACGTTTCATTTCTGATTTAAAAGCCCCTGTGGCTGCTCTGCTTCCCAGCAAGGCTCCTGGTGTGGAGGGGGGCAATTGGGAAGGCAGGCAGGGCTGGAAGCGCGCATCGGTGCTTGCTGGTTTGGGATTTGTGTTGAGCTTGCGCTGCTGGCTTGGTTTCAGCTGTCACATGCTATTACTCATGCCTCCTAAGGATGGCCTTTACATTTTTTTTTTTCTGAAAGTCTCCAAATTATTTTCCTTGGCTGCCTGAAAGGATTTTAAGAGACTAAGTGACAGTCTGCTCCCCAGCCCTAGGAGGGGCAGAGGCACTAGAGGGATTTGGGGAGGATAATGGTGTTAGAGATGCCCATGGAGCTCATATCCCTCTGCTACTCGTGCAAGTCTCCAGGTGAAAGCCAGTCCCATTGCTCCCCACCACCACATTTTGGGAGTCAAACAAGAGCATCACGGTTAATACATCTCCCCCAAGAGACCAGGGAGACAGCAACAGTTTTAAGAGAAGGCAAAACTGGGAGATGAAAAAATTAACCTGCCTCTCTCTGCCACTGCACAGAGATCAGAGCCTTTGGGCAAGCAGCTATCACAGATGAGATTGTTCTTCCTCCTCCCCTCCCCAATGAGGTGTTTTCCATCATAGCCCACTGATGGTAGCAGCCATGTTGCGCTGGCTTGTTCTTCCAGGCAGCTTAGAAGACACTATGATGGGTGCATGGAGCCCTCCTTCATCTGAAAGATTCATGAAGCAGGGAAGCCTTGCAAGATGCTGCAGTCCTGGAACCACCTTCTCCCCTTCCACCACAAACTGCCCAAGGAAGGCCCATACTTAGTTTTCTTTCTCAATGTTTACTTCTAAGAGATGTCAGAAAGCTCATTTTTATCCCTCCCAAGAATTTTTCCTGCTGCTTGATGTTAGAGGATGAATTCTTGTCCTGCTTCTGCTGAGTAACGATGGCCAACCATCAGCCAGAGCCAGATTTAATGTGTCAAAGTTAAGCTGGAAAGTTTTAAAACGGATTTTTGACAAGACCTGCTCAACTCAAATGGCTGGTTAACACGTGGAAGAGAAGAGTAAGTCTTGCTTTAACCCAACCAACCATTCTGATTCATTTATAAAGATGTTAAAGGCTTAGAAAACCCAAATACTGCCTTGTAGTTGAACAGAGATAAGGATGAGAAGACCCTCACTTCAAGAACCCATTTGTAGCTAACTCTAAAAGCAAAACTAAAGCAAGCTATGTGGTGATAATTGCCAGAAGGCTGTGGGGACAAGGGCTACAAATGCTTCTCTGAAAGGCAGATGTGGGCTCCAGTCCTCATCTGATGAATCCTGCCACAATTCACAGCTTCCCATGGTCTTAAGCACAAGTCCCCGCTAGCCAAACCCCTCGGCTCCTCAACATTTAAAGCAGGTGACAGTCCCCAAGCTCCTATGGATGCTCAGTAATAACCCTACAACCGTGACCAAGTGCAGCACACAGTTTCCGCACTGCTGAAAGGAAGGGAAACCCCGCTTGGAGAGCAAGTGAGGAAGATCTTGTGACATTGGCTCACGAAAAAAATCTTTGCAGGCAGCGGCTGTAATTTCCCCAATTACCTCTGCTGGACACCGGGGGGTTAGCACCGCTGCCTGCATGTGTGGACACTGACGACACACAAGGCTATTTCTTCAACGCAAACACTAAAGCGAACGCTCCAGTTCACCCCCAGGCTGCTGCAGGTCCTTGCTGGGTATTTCTGGCCTCCAAAAAGGAGGGAGAAAGGAAAGAGGACTTTTGAAAAAGGAAGGAGTTAGATTTGCCTTTCCAATTATCTGCTGCTGTCATTATGACCTTCCATAGTTAAACAAAATTACCCTAAACAAACAAGGCTCCAGCGCTCGGGTCGAACGCTGGCATTAGCAGCCATCCACACTCACTGCTGAAGAGCCCTGACATATTGATATTAATTTAAATTTCCCCTTGACCATCATTTTCGATTCCCTCCAGCGCTGAACTTCTTTATAGCACTGAGGCATGTTCCTCCTACTCTTCTATTAAATGCTTTAAAATTAATTAAAGAGGCTGGCTGGCCAGGCAGGATTTTAAATTCCCTTTCTCAAAGAAAAATCTGACTCACCCAACACCTCTCACAGGGACATAAGCGCTGGAGGCAAAACCGTTCTGCGGCAGCTTCCAGCCAAGGGCTTTGTAACCCTCTTCTTTCAAAAGAAGAAAATGAGAATAATGACTGTAAGTGCCCACCATCTGCAATTAATTTTCACAAGGAGAGCAGTTAAGCACTGGAACAAGTTTCCCAGAGGGACTTAGGAATCTCCGATCCTTGCTCAGTTGAGCTGTGAACATCTCCAAGCCCTGGAGCAACCTCATACAACTTTGAGGAAAGCCCTGCTGTGTGCAGGGGGTTGGACCAGAGACCTCCAGAGGTCCCTCCCAAACTCAGTCACTCCCCACCTCTAAAAAGGCTGAAAACCTGACCATTTGTTGAGGAGGCAACTAATTAAAAAAAAATATTGACCAAGTGCTGTTAAAAAAAAAAGATTACAGTAAGTAATTATATGCAACTTAATACATCAACTGCGAAGAGTTACCTGAAGGAAAGAAAATTAAGGAAATTAAAATAAGAAGCATACCACTTGTGACAAAGAGACAAAGACAAAAAATGCCATCAACTTGTGTTTATGAGCTGCTGTGTTTCTAATTAGGGCCAGACACTGAATTTGCATTTTATCTTGATTGAAACAGAATGAAAACTGAAAAAATAAAGGCGGCTGATGTTAAACTGTTTTCCCTGTTTAACCTTACAGCATTCAAAATAGCTGGTTTTTTTCTTCTGTTTTTAAGATCTCAGCTTCGTCAGAGTGATTTCAATTTAAAACAGAGGACCTTCAAGTGGGGGGATAGAAGGAATGAGGTCACCTGCCAAGCAGCGGCTGCACGGCACAGAGCAGGGGTATAACAGCAGCCACAGCAGCTTGCAAAATAAATTAGTAGGCATTGATAAACAAGCCAGAGGCTGAGAGAAACCCATGCCTGAAACCAGGGGAAGCAGCAAGTGTGATGGCCATGGCTTCTCATGCTGGCCCTGCCTTCGGAGGTAGCTGGCTGGGAAGGATGCTCTGCACAGCCCAGCACAGTCATCCAGCACCAAAATCTCTTAAAATGCAGGGAAAATGGAAATCAAGCTAGTGCTCACTGGGACGCATCAGACAGCTGCCATCAGACAGAAGGAACCAATTTTGTTTCCTTCTGCCACAGTGACTCGGGTGACTCATACGACGGAGACCTGCAGATAGCACCTCAGAGCAGGACACACGCTAGCGCGCGCTCTTCTCTCTCCTTTCCTTCTCTCATTGCTCTCACCCCCCACTGACATGTCAGAAACCGTGAAAGAAAACCAGCACACAGCATCTGGGGGCCATCCGCATCTCTCTTGGAGCTCAGCACCATGTTTCTCCCCACTGGACAAGACTCTCTACAGGCCAACAGCAATTTCAGTGTGTCCCACACCCTTCTAGCCAAGAGCCATAGCTGTTGGTTGAAGGAGCATACAAGTCCTCTGTAGCCCTGCTGGGAACAGGCACCAACATTGAAACAGGACAGGATCTGCCCCGACTCTGCTGTAAGGCTTCATCCCTGCTCCTTTGCTCATACCCCCAAGAGCATCCGTGTTTTTCTTTTCTGTCCTGTGACCAAAGCATGTCAAAAGACCTCACAACTGTTCTGGGAAAATCAGAATCGGACTTTTAGCACCTGGAAGATGCAAGACACCTTTCACACACCACCATCAGTTATGGCTCCTTGATGGCTTTGCTGACATGGAGAGCGAAGTCCCTGCAGGAATCTCTCAGCCTTGGAGGCGTGAGGGAGATACACACTGCAATGAATGAACGCAGAGAGATTCTGTTTGCAAACTGAAACACTTCCCACAGGTATTGCTGTATACATTGCACCTTTGCCGCCCGCAGCTAGGAAAAGATACTACACCCACTGATTCCACTTTCAAGCTTAACAAGTCCTGTCAGCAATCCTGAGAGCTCAGCATAACTGCTGCTTGTGAAGACCATCTGCACCTTCTTACCCCTCCCGCTATCCTGCCAACCAAGCAACAACAACTCTTAGCATCATGGTTTATTCCCCCTCTGTATGTACAATTAAGTGTATGCATGACCATTAAAAATAAGGCTACTTATATCATGGCTCTGAAACACTTTACAAACCAACTCTATTCCCTCTCTTATTACAACATTCAAAACACTTGGCTTCCATGATGTGCAGAGAGGGGCAAACGCAACCAGACCACATGGGCCATTAAGTGGTGCAGGGCTTTGGTAACTGGATCTAGAAGCTTCCTCCTCTAGCTGAGATAGTCAAACACAGCCAGGTCACTGCGGGGGGAGATAGTTATCCCACAACATCTTGGTGAGGTCAGTCCAGGTCCCAGGCAACCGCAGGTCACCTCATCTCAGCATGTTGCTGGTGGCAGGCAGCAGAGAGGCCCAGGTTCGCATGGATGGAAGGACAACTTACTCCTCTCCTTTGGAGCTGCCCCTTTCAGTTGAGGCAGGGGCATAAGGAAAGGAGGAAGGGGAAGCTGCCCTTCTCTTCTTGATGACCAGAGGACTTCAGTCTCCAGAGGTATCAACCTGGGTGATATTTCTCAACATTTAACACATCTAAAAAAAAAAAACCATCAAAGGAACAACTGAACCATACCATTATGGGATCTCAGAGCAGATTGCTTGCATGTCCAGGTAAGGCTTAGAAACATTCTTTTTCCAATGGGGATGAAGGAACAGTCCAGAAGAAAGTAACGGAGATGTGCAACTGAGGGCAGCCCTGTGTGGTCCTGTAAGCTCCCTTCCCAAGTAAATCTGTTCCCATATGCAACAAGAGAGAATCTTCCAGCTTCAGCTTGTGGCTCAATAAATTTTATTATTCCTTTTTGTTTTTATTTAAAAGAATTTGTTTTCCTGTCATAAAAATTAGACAACCATACCACCACCACGAGCAGCAGCAAAGTCTGTGGAGTTAATGTTGATGGCAGACAGTTCACTGGTGCTTCCAGTGTTTCAAAACGTCCTAGAAAGTCCATAAATGGAAAAAACCCAAACATGATGGTTTTGGGGAGGAACATCAAGGTGATTTCGGTTTCTTGTCCCACTGAGGATCCCAGATGAATACTGTAGCATATCAGCAGGACCAAGTACCTCATGCCTTGAGAGAAAACCCTTCATACCAGCTCCAGTACCTGATTAGTAGGGAAGACAAGACATTCAGAATAGCAATTTATGACATTCATTATCTCCTACATCAGCACATAGATCACTAGGACAGGACTGACCCTTCAGTCTCCACCCCCTTACCCTTTAGTCACCAGCATGGTGACTCAATAATATCACGCAAATGGGATAAGCACGTGGCAAGGTTCCCGATTTTGATGTCTGCTTGAGGTAGGATAAATTACAGCATGAAGCAAAACCATCCACAGTTGTCTCATATTCACTCATCCCAATCAACTAGCTCCTGGAAACCTTGTAATGGAGATCAGTTTTTGTCCTCTCAGACCCTGTGCTCACATTTCCTTTGTCCACGCTAAGATAGTGCAGCAGCCTCTGAAGGCATGGTCTAGAGACGGCAGAAGAAAAGTAACTATGAGGGCTGTCACCCGCAGAGTGATTTGCACAGCCTGTATTAACCCACGGTGGCTTTGCCGGGGAAAGCTCTAGAGCTTTAGCCCACGGGTGCTGGCTGGCATGGTATCTGCCCCCAGACTCGAGTGGGTTTGTGCAAATCCAGCCCTTTCCCAGATCACCCCACCGTCCTTCTGCGCACTGCCAAAGGCAAATGGAAATACCAGAGTTCTGACAGCCCTGGCTGTTCGCACATTTCTCTACCTTCTCTCATTAACAAGCAAAGCGCATGAGCAAAACCTCTCCTCTCTGATCACTCTCCTGTTGCTACTGGACTCACTTCAAGACACCAGAAGCATCTGTGCATTTTGCCCATTTTACTAAGAAGGAAGTGACCAAAGTAATGAGTAACCAATTCCACAGGCTGCTAAATAAATTGCCCACGACTGAGAGGCTACAGCATCACACACTGCAAGAGCAGGAGTAACAAGGGCACTTGTGGCCTAAAAAGAAGGAAAAATATAAATGTTGACACACAAACACAGGCCACTTGGTTCTCCCCTCATTTCTGCTTTTTTTGTGATTTTTTCAAGGACCATTCAGACCAGCAACTCTGGTCTGGCTCCAGAGAGCTGCTATGATCACAGGGCTGCAAGGAGAAATCAGGATGAGGACCTCAGTGTCATGAAAGTGACGATCCAGCGTGTAACTCTGCAAACAGCAAGTAACCCCCTTTACTGACAGCTCCAGAAAGCTGCCAGGGCTCTGGGCTACAAGCTTGTGGCGTTAACCACCAAGCCTCAGAAGCATGGTGGAGGTTGGCGCTGCTGTGTACAATTTGGGATAGCATCAGACCTGGGGTTCTTCAGAGGATCACCACCAGCCTGGGTTTGGGTACTGGTTTTGCTTGGCTGATAGACACATAAAGAAGGACAAAGTCTTTTCCATATTACTTGACATTTCATGGATAGAAATACATTGAACAGACACTCTGGAAGCCTTTTAATTCAAGTGCTGAAAACCTGGCAAAACGCTGGCTTCTCAGTGCACAGGGAAGGCTGTTGCTTTCACAAACCCCTGTGCCGGCAGCTGCTGTCTGTTACAGCCAGTCTGAGCACCAGCAGTAAGCAAAGTGAGGGAGCATCCCTGCTCATTTCAAACATTGCTCCAGCCGGCTGCGCATCAGGAGCTCAGCTTTTAGCTCTGCTGCACCCAGTGTCGGCGGCAGCAGCCAGAGGACAGGTTCTGGTTAATGCCAGTGAGTGAACATGCAGCCTCCGTTGCCACAAGAACCAGCACGAGCCTAGGGAGATGCTTGTGCCAGACTCTCTGTTCTACTAGGACCCTAAGGAGTGGTGGAGGCACAGTGGGTGCTGGATGGCTGCCAGCAGCTTTTCTACACCTTGCTTTAACTGGGTTTCATTGCTGGTGTGCTGTCTGCTTGCTCCACCATGTGCCAGAGGCAAATACATAATCTAAATTACACACTTCCACAGTTGGGATGACCTCCTCTAATGGTTTCTCCTGGCTGTACAGTTTCTCTGACCTTGCTCTTTACTAACAACAGATTCAAATGTTTAAAAAGGGGATGCATGAAATAACTTACCTTAATTGTACCCTGACTGTTAGCAGCAATCAGCACATTGGACTCCTGGAAAAAAAAAGAGGCACTATCACAATCTGCTTTTGCTTTTTTTTTTTTTTCCTTTCTTTTTTGGAAGAAGCAGTAGAGAAGCAGCAGTTGTTTTTATCTTAAACATTACAAGTATATCTAATTTCAAAGGGACTTAACTCTTCCTATTTCCAAGATGTTTTCAAGGCTAAAAGTCTCTATAAAAGTTATATTACCTTAAAGAATTAGAAAACAATAATCCTTAGTGCTTGTACAGAGCTTTAAATCTCCAAAGCAATTTACAAACAAGAATTAATCCTCACAGTCTCCCTGTGAAGTGGGCAAATAATAATCATTTTCATCTTTTGGCAGCATATGGACAAAGGTCTCCAGTGCCCTAACTAAACCGACTAATCACCATGACAAAACCTCTCCATCTCTGAGGCCATGCAACCTCTCCCACAGCCAAGAGGTTTCAGACAAGTAAAACAAATAGGAGAAGAGATTAGAGAGCAATAGCAGATACACCCAGTTTGGAAGGGAAGATAAACAGAGAGGGCTCCAGCCCTGCTTTATTCAGAAAGGCAGCATCTATTTACCTCCTGCCAATTGATGGAGTTGCCTTTGGAGATATCCTGGTTGTCTGCAAATTAATGGTCTGCTGCATCAGTCAGGCAACCCCCAGGCAAAAACTGGGGGAGACAGCCTCTGCTCTTCAGACTGCATTCCTGATGTGACGAGCAAGTGCAGATGCACCCTCCCAAACCAAAATTGTTCAGACGGGGGAAATCCAAAGGAACAATACGGTGCCAATAAACCTAACGCATGTAAGTGCTGGGGTGCTGGCAGGGTTGGAACTGGAGATGCCTATGTTGAACCACTGCTCCCAGACCGGTGTCCCGCATCCATCCTTGTGCCAGCAGTTGTGACACATGCTGCCAAACCGCCTACTGCGAACTCTGAAGACAGTTGATATCTTTTCTCAGACACCTTTTTCAATTCCTCTCACTGCTGCTATTCATCCCCAGACAAACTTGCTGTAATTATCCCATCACTTAACACATGCAATTTTAATAAACCCAGTGACTGGAATACGCCCCGCTCCAAAGGGAGCATAAAGCCAGCCCTGACCCAGCCCCAAGAGGGTTGCACGCTGCCTTTCCACGAAGGTTTGGGACTTTGCAAAGCCACTAGCTTCGAAGTAAAGGGAGAAAAATTCTTTTCAATGCAAAACCCCGCTTATCAGGTAAGAGTAGCTTTGTGGTGGACCACTGGGCTAATTTCTATAGATAGATTTGTTCACTCCCAGTAAAATCATTAGGGGATTAGTTAAGACTCCTGATATTATCTCACCAATGATCCTCCAAGTCAAAGCTCCTGAAAAGGAAGTAGATCCTCAAAGGAAGCACATACTCCAATTTCCATTAATTTGGTGACTAAAAGAGTCTAATCTTGTGAACTGCTCAGCTTCTGGTTAACAGCATTAGAATCAAAACCCACCAGGGGTGGATCTGGGGACTAAACCAGGGACTGGGATGCCAGATAGGATTTTGGAGGCAAGGAAGAGACACTGGCAGTTATCTAGCGTGCAGTGCAAGAGACGTGAACTCCTGAGTACAGATGATCCAGGGTTTGAATGATTCCTGTTTGCACTGTGAGTGATTGGTAATTCATCCTGCTGCTGCAGTCTGCTGGGGTACCACTGTAAATGAACTCTGGTTCAATGAACAGTTTTACCTGCTAAATAAAATAAAAACGCCAGAGGGTAATATACTCTCACTCCCTTGTTCTTCAGAAGCCACTATTTTTTTTTTTTTTTTCAGCAGGGTCTGAGCTAATCACTGCTCTGCTGCTTTCACCCACAACCATGAGATGCAAACGGGAGCAGACAGCAGCAAAATTAGCACCAAATCTGTCATCGAACAAACAGTGACTTGCTTGTTAAGGCACTCTACCACTGCTTCCCCGGGAACACAGCTAAGTAACTTGTTTTTAATCCTCTAAAGAAACGATTCTCTTTTTTTTGTGTTGCCTGTAAAACAGCCAATACATTCAGCACGTTAAACACTTAAGCAAGTCGTGAAGTTGCTTAGATCTGTAGGTTTATAACTTAAAACAGCCGTGAGCATGCTGAACCAATCTTTTTGCCAGGACACGTCTGACAGAGTAACCACATCCTCAGAAGACAACCACCATGACCACTTAACAGGCAGAACACCCATTTCCTCTACCGCACCACTACAAGCATCTGTATTTCTCAGGCATGAAAAACAGGGTATCACCATCCCATATGGATGCGTGTTCTACTGTATCATAATCACTTAGTGTTTCTGTGCAGGGCAAGAAGGTTGAAAGGCTGGCCTTCCTCATTCCTCCCAAATCTGTTATCTGCAGGAGCCAGAATCTCCGAAAGCAGAGGCAGGGTGTATGTTGAAGATCCACCCTGACTGAATAGTCCTGCTCTGAAGAAACCCATTTTTTAAATGACTCTTCCACTCAGGAACCACCTGCTATAGGTGGTTAGCACCTGTAGCCCTTAACAGGAGAGTCAGAAGGTGCTAGCTGCCTTTGCTAAAACACAACTAAAAAAAAAAAAAAAGAACATACAACAAAATTCAAGAGACAAGGGTTTACTGCCTAGGCAAGCAACAGCATTTTGTTCCATGCAGCTGCTGATCTCAAGTATTACTGCACTCCTGTGGAAAGCCACTGACTGATGAAATGTGGCGACTTCCCCTCTGCACATTGAGGCAGATTTTGAGCAATCAGTGGAGACGTGGCACAGTGCACTCGGGTCCCCCGTGATGAGATAACATGGCATCTCAACAAGCCAGGGACAGCCATAAAATTGATGGGAGACAGCTTAAAGAGTTTTGGTCCTGTTAAGTTAACAGAAAAGAGCAAGGCTCTGGGGATGTCAAAAGTATGCATCCTCTTGTCTCTCTGCATTACATATGAATATAGAAAGATCAATTGACAAATGCAGGTGCAGCTCAGGACTCAGTCAAGATTAATAGAGTGTGCAGGTCCAGAACAGCTCTAAGAGGCTCCAGGGCTCAAGTCCTGTGCTAAGACTTATGAACAGCCTTCTACGCATGCCAACTTTTTCCTCGACTACAGACAGTATTGTGGGAAGTCTGAAGGACAGTTCCCTGACATTGGGAAGGACTTGACTCCACCACAAATCTTTGTTATTGCCTACAAACTGGACACATAACTACACGGAGGTAGGCATTATGCAAAATACAGCTGTAAATCAGTCCTGAGAGCAAAGACAGACCAGACAAACACTTCTGTCCTGAACCTGACACATCCCTGTTCTCCTGGATGTGGCACCAGATGAACACGACTAGTCTACCCACAAGAATTTACGAGCATTTACCCTTAGGATTTCAAGGGACTTTCACTGATTATGCCAAAGGAAATTTCTGCAGTGCATTCTTGCAAGGAAAAACACGCACTTGCAAAGAAAAACAAAATCAAATTTAGGACCTTCCTGAGTAGATGAGATACCTGCTACATTCATCATTCAAAGGAATTATTCACCCAGTGACAGCTGGATTTTGAAGCACACTGATTTCCTTCCCTCCTAGATGAGCCCTGTATTTGGATGGCCCTGGGGAAGCAATTTGTACAGGGAAGGAAGGGAGGGAGAAGGCAACTCTGGCTGACTGCTAGTATTCATGCAAGAGCAGTCAGCATTAAGAATCAGAAATGCTCTGGATGTTTCGCGAAGCTTGAGGAAACTCAACTGAACAACCGAAAATTGTTGGAGCTGCTTCAGTGTGATAGGGAGTAAGAGACAGCTGAGGCTGGAGCTCTTCCACTCTTTCTTGACATCTTTCAAGAAAACATTGTGGGGAGGGGAGCTAAATGAAAGTCACCCCAGATGGACAGCTGTTAAAACAGCACTCACATATCAGGGCCACACACTGATAATATTCAAGCAGACTCTACAGAGCAAGTGAAAGCTACAGACATACCCTCTAAGCTAAGCTGTAAACCCATCCTCCCAGTAACTGCAAGGTTCCTCTCTGTCACCCCTCTTCACTAATAAAGAGCCACCTTGATGCCTGCCGGCAGCCACAGTGCTCCAGGAGTTAAGCACCCCTCTCACCAGCAGGCTCGTGCAAAATCACAGCTGAGTACTTTATTGTCTTCCTTTCCTGACATAAAATAGAGAGCCTGTCCCACAGGGGCTCAAAGTAGGCAAGATGAGCACAAATCATTCACATCTTTTTTTTTTCCCCTTTAACATAATCCTTTGTGAGACCATTCCTCCTCTGTTATACCACATATATCAACCCTTAAAGTGAAATTCAGCAGCTCACTGAAGGAAAAGCTGGACCATGGTCGACACAAGAGGAGGAGCCTGGACACCGACTTTGAAACATCTTGGTCCCCCCCACTGAGAGTGAAACTGTGAATCAGAACATTTATGTGTGAACATAATCTACGCTTTTATAGTTTGTAAATGCAGTAGTTTTGCAAAAGCTGTTCTTACCAGGAAAGGAGTCAGAGTACTTGAAGGTTGGGAACTGCAGTGGGTAGCTAACAACCACAGCTTTGAACACATAAGCCAACCCATAAAAGATGCAGCAGCACTTCTCTGTGCCGTTAGCCCGACAAAACTAACCTTGAAATAAACTTAACTGGCTGTGTTTCCCCTCAAGGCCCACGCTGAGGAAGGAGGAAAATCTGGCTAAAGGAGAAATGGTACGACGAGCATTTATTTCTTACTTTTACACTCTTCCCTACTTTCTACAGGTACCAGAAATAACACAACAGGCTGAAGAAGTTGTTCCTCAGGAGGATTATTAAGATGCAAGATGTGTCTCTTCAAATTGTATGTGCACATGTTCATGCGATGGACTGGAAATCCTATTCGGGACTTTCACAGTATTACAAATAATTACGAAGTTTGTGCCTGTGTTATCGCCCCTTTTCTGCACAACTAAAGCGTATTCACCTCAAACTTCCAGTGCAGTCATCACTGAGGTAAGCGTGAATATTCTAGATTTTCAGCTAGGTTTGTTCTA